ATGCACTAGGAACCACCAGTCTTCAGCATGTGAATCAACCATAGCACATGTTCCTAATTTAAAACAGATGCACTGTAACATGCTTGCCTCCTTTTGATTATAACTTAAGGCCTATAGGCTTCATCTAATTTAGGCAACAATCTGGTGACCAAAAGAAGACTATTTTAGAACCAGGTATTATTTGCTAGAAGAGCTTCAAAGGAGATTGTCCCCAAGATTCCTATCAATAATCTCTTCTCATACCATAGGTGCTTATTAAATATTATGTATTGCTGTTTACCTGTAAATAACTTTGGTTGGGTTTGTCCAATCTAGAAAATGGAAGATTAAATTCCTGGGGAAAGGGTGGGTAGAAAGATAATAGTGAAGGGAATACATGAATAATTGAAGGGGATAGTTCTACTTGTGTTATTATTTTGCTTTTTCATGTCTTGTTAAGACTTAAAAATAAAGAATTAGAAAAAAAAAGAGCAGCTGTTTTTTTTACCCAATGGCTATTTATTAAACCTTTATGGGACTGAACTGATGCAGATATGGTTGATACTCTGGAGACCTTTGCGAATTATAATAGCGATTTCCCTGCAAATGGAAAGGATATATTTAGAGAGGCTTTCCTGAGAGAATGAGCTGTCCCCAGGGATTGGTAATGGACTGTGGAGCCTTTCACCTCAAGGTCAGTAGGTCAAATCCAAATCAGGCCTGGGGTGGCTGAGAAGCATTGTATAAGTGACAGCTGTTGGATGACCAAGGTGAAAGGAACTCGAGGGTTCTGCCATATTTCAAGTGCAGTGAACAGGTGCTGTCTGCCACAGTCCTGGCAGAGGATGAAAGATAGTGCTCAGAAATAGGCTGAGCTTGGTCTCTCCACTCCAGAGGCCATCTTTGACCAGGCTAAGTGAGGAGCTTGCCCTTCCAGTACAGTGTGACAGGAGAACTGAGGGAACACAAACTGCCAGTGCCCCTGAAGAGGAGGGTGTGTCAGTTGAACTGAACTGGGAGGCTCCTGCTGCATCATCTGGGGGAAGAGCTACTTCCATGTGCTAAGCTGGAAAGTGCCTTCTACACCAAGCACCTCATTCCTCAAGGCCTTTCTTTCCTGGCAGTGGCTGGCACTGTCTGTCACTGTGTAAGAAGTGAAGATGCAAAGAGATCAATGGGAAGCCTGCAGTGGGTTAAAATAAATGGTGTGGATTTTCCCATTTTTAGTTTTTTCAATATATTTTACACATCTCACATCTTAGATACACAGCATTCTGGAAGAGGGGTATAAAGTGTAGAGTAGAGAGGGAAGTCAAAATTTGGTAGCCACTTTATATAAAGCTAAGGATAGAAAGCCATCATTACTCCTATCCCTTTGTTTGACCTTTGAAGAAACCGAATCCCAAACAGTTTGAGGTGGGTCATGGTGTCAGAGTCTAAGTCACTAGCAATAGAGGTGACTCCAACTGATATGAAGGTGAATGGATGTATGGAAAGGATATCAGATAACTCACAGAATCCTAAGGGAAGCAGATGTGGCCAATAGCGGGAGAGGCAGAATTCTTACAGAGCCAGGGCCTTGACTTCCTTCAATAGAGGCTGCTTTTACTACTTTAGCCCTGTGCCATAGGTTAGGAATGTCTTTCTGGGCACAAAACTGGCTTCCTCTTGCTTTAAGTCTCTATTCAAATTTCTTCAAGGAGAAGCCTTCTCTGACTCATATATGTACAACAGTATCACCCTCCAACCATGTACACTGTCTTTTCCTCCTTTCCTTTTTAAATTGCCTTCCATTGAGATTTATTACTATTTAACAATTATTCATTTATTGTTTACTTTAAGTCTCCAGCCCTCTAGAGTGTGAATTCGAGGAGCTGAATGTTTTATGTTGTCCCCATTGTCCCACTTCTTAGGGATAAAGTGCTCATAGGTTGCCTATGCCTTTAGTATTCCTTCCAGGTCAGGGCAAGTTTTGACACTCTCCCTTTGGAAACTTCACAGGGGTAGGGGTGAGGTGTTCTCTTTCTAGAGCTCTCCCTCCTTTGCTTGCATTCCTAAGTTTTCAGTTAGATGACTTTTCCCAGCTCCTAAATCTTGGTGGAAAGGAGCTTTCTGCACAAACGAATGAACATCTGTAGAAGCAGGAGAAAGAAGCACTGGAGGTCAGCATCCCTGTGTTTTTTGCCACATTTTCAGCTAAGTTTTGGATGGAAGGCTAAAGGGACCTGTCCACTATCATGGCTAAGCAAAGATTTCTTCCTAGCCGAACCAGAATCTTCATTTTCCCTTCTCTTCTTACCCACCTCCTTTCACCTGCAGCCCAGTCCTGCCCCCCCCCCATCCCTGCCATCCATTTCCCAGGAAAATAAATCTCTAGGAGGAGGCAGGGAGAGTGGATCTCAGGAAACCCTTCTGAATAAATGTCTATATTAATGAATTATTAACTCAGCCACCCGTGACCTTAAACCTAGAAACAGGAGCACCCAGGGCAGAGAAGAGGGCTGCTGAATCCTTTATTGGAGTCCTGTCAAAGGCAACAACCATTTGTTCCCCTCCCCCATCAGGAAAAATAATTTATATAAAAGGCAAACTTTTTAATTGTATGTCAAACGAAATCAGATAGAGGATCTCCCGGACAGGTCTTCTTCCTTCTTCCTGCCACTCTTTCCCTGCTCTGTCTTTTGGCTCCATTCTTCCCCTCCCAGCCAAGTGTACAATAGGCTTTCTAAGGATAATTTTCGGGGGGAAAATGCTCCAGAAAATGATGAATTTGGGTAGTTAATTTATCGATCCCGACTCCTCTTCCCACTTGTTTTATTTTAGAGGTCATTAATCAATGAAGAAAAACACCATCGTCTCCCCCGTTTGCATTTAATACACTCACGCTCCTTATTTATTCCTCTGGAACAAATTCCCAGCAAATATTCACCCATCGATTTGGGAGCATGGATTTTTATCAAGGTTTGATCGCTTCCTAAGTGGTCGAAGTGATTTGTTTCCGCCGTCTTGTAAGTAATGAAGAGGAGGGGAGCGAATTTGAGGGGTGCATGTTTCGCGGTCTGCGGACTCAGTTTCTACCCAACCGCCGCCAGACGTGCAGGGGTGACCAGGTGGGCCCAAGGGTCAGCTGCGTGAGGAGGAAACGACCTCGGCAAAGAGCGTAACGCCGCCGGGCTCTCAGTGGTTTTGCTCAAGGCACTGCTCACAGGGGTGAGCTCCCAGTGCCGGGACTGCTCTGACTTCTGCCTCAGCCAGCCCCATGCCAGGGATGTCCAGACTCCCGAAACACTCCCCCGAGACCCCAGACCTTTTCGTTTGTTCCCAAGCCCTCCGAATCCGAATTCTGCCTGCTTCCTTCATTAAAGGTCCCGATGACACTGGAACCTCGGCTTAGGTCGTCTTGCTGGTCTGGTGTGCCTGGGGCCGCTGGCGCTGGGGAGAGCCGGACAAGCATAGTGATAGGAATTTGACAGGTCAGATACCTTCGCTAATTTCTCTGCCTGTCCCCAGGCCCCAAGGAAGTCAAACACTTCCTATGGTACACTCCCTCTGTCATCATTTTGGATGGAGTGGCTAGAGATTTGAGGAGGGTGACCGACCGAAATGCACTTGGCACCCTCACTGACTCGGATTTGAATCTGCCTCCATCACTCATTAGTGGCGTGACTTCAGGCAACCTACCTGGCCTTTCTGAACCTCCTTGGTCCCCATCTGTAATAGGAGGTAATGACAATGCCAGCCTCGCATGGCTGCCAAACGGACTAAATGCACGTTAAACGCCTATGGCGCTGGCACGTTCAAAGTTCTCAGTAACCGGTCAGCTAATCTTACTACGATGAGAAAATACACCACACCACCACCAACAACTTCCTAGAATGTGGTCATAAGGCCTCCGAAGCAGTTGTAGTAACTAGCATCTCAAAATCCTGAGACTTTTTAGAGGACGAGGGGAAGGATTCTTTGGGACTTTAAGTCCTGCAGTCAAGAGCTTGGAAATAGCCAATTTGGGGAATAAACAAGAAAGGGCCACTGCCTCTGCGTTGGGACTTCCATCTTCAGAGCTTCCTGCCTTTCCCACGGAACAGAGAAACGTCCTGGTTTCTCAACAATGAACTGAGAGAATGTGAGAACAAGAGTTTTCTCCTTCCCTGGCCCAGAAGCCACTCTTCAAGCCAATTAATTTAAAGTGGGCCTGGAACTTCATCATCTTCTCCCGAAGGAGTTGTCCAAAGTCTATGAAGACTGCCTGGTTAGCCTGGGGGTCCACAGCATGGTGGCTTTTCCCTTGTGGTGTTTGCCTTAGACTTGGGTGCTATCAATCTATCCAGGGATGACAGATGACCATGTCATAAGGATGCCAGTCAAAACATTTTCGGTCCAACTCTGTTCCAATCAGCATCGAGGTATCCTGCGTGAGACCCGGACAAAGTCTGAACAGCTCATTTCCCAGGCTCGAACAAAATGAGTGGTGGGAAGAGAAAAAGAAACAAGCAGAAATTAGGAAAGAATGGCTATTAATTGTTCAGAGTGACGAGTGCTAAATAAATTTGGTTGTTTGAGTAAAGATAAATGCCATATTTTCTCTTTGAGGTGTGGACTGAACTCTGGCTAAGGGAAAGGGCCTAGGTGGGTCAATTTCATACAGCCCATCGGTGCCCCCTACCACAGCTGCCAGGGGACGCTGGGGAAGTCTAATTCTTGAATGCTAGACCGCCCATCGAAGGGTGATTGGAGTTTAAAGCTCTGGAAGGGGCACGTGGGAGTAGAGCTGAGCTCCTACCCTGCACCTCCAAGCCAGGTTTTGGGGAGAGAAACCTATCCTTGACCTGGGCAGCTCCCCCAGGAAGCTGAAGGCAAACAGCTTCGCCCTTGTCCAGGAACAGTTGTACCACCAGACTTGGCTCTGGACACTTGGCTCTAGCTACCAGCAAGAAGAGGGGGACAGCCCTCCAGGAAGACAACGCGAGAGCGAGTTGGCTGAGCGCTAGGGTGTGCAGACTCCATTGTAGACGCCTCCCAGCCCTACGGGCAGGCTGGAGTCCCGCCATGACAATCTGCTCTTTAGAGACCCTCGATCCTATGCCTTCCACATCGCCAAGCTGGCTCCTCAGCTGCAGTCTGAGGGTTTCCCTCCAGCGCAACCTACCCCCAACTTTTCTCCCGGGAGGATTTATGTTAGAGGCTGCTTGGCGGGCAAGTCGACTCTGGCACCCAGCAGCACTCCAGGAAAAACCCAGCCGGGATAAAGTGCGAACTCGATCCGGGTTTGGGTCTACTCGCCCGGCGGCGCGCGCTTGTTCCGGAGCGGACACCGAGCGTCTGCAGAGATGCATTCTGGTTTCTGCATTCCCATTGCTTTCAGGATCAAGGCACTGCTCCGGCACCTACAAAACTCATATGGACAGAAAGAGACAACAGGCGAGCTGGAGACGTCACACCAAAAAAAGTGGGGGGTGGGAGGGCAGAGGAGGCATTTGTGCGAGAGAGGCGCACGGGCTGTAAGTGGGTCCAGCCGAGTTAGAACTTCCTTCTTCCCTCTCCCCTCCCCTTCGTTCTGGCCTGCCTCCCGCCTCCTCCCCCACCCCACTTTCCCTCTCTCTCTCTCTCTCTCTCTCTCTCTCTCTCTCTCTCTCTCTCTCACACACACATACACACACACACACACACACACACACACAAACACACGCACACACTTGTATTTTGTGCTGTCGTAAAACCCACGTGTCCAGGCAGGAGGTTTCCAGAGTGGAACCCAGGAGCCAGGACGCGACAGCGGCCAAGCTCAAGCAGCCCACGGCGGCTACGTCCGGCTCGGGTACGCTTGCCCTCCGGCGCCCTCAGCGGGCCTACAAGTTCCTCTTTCAAATCCCTGGAGGGTTCCTGGCGGCGGGATCTCTAAGGCTCTCCACCCACACTGCCTGCGGGCATGTAGCGCACACCCTCCGGCTCGCTAGCCGAGACCCCGCAAGCGCGCACACACCCGCCGCGGCTCGGAGTGGCTCTGAGTTTCCAGGTAAAGTGAGGCTCCCCTGGGGCTAGGAGTCTGGGGCCCCAAGGGTAGGGTGGTTGGAGGTCTCAGGTTGGGGGCGGGGGGCGAGACTGTCCCGCCTCCCAGCGCCTGAGGCCAACGCAGCTCGGGCGCTGCGCCACTTCGGCTCGGGTCGGCTCCAGGGCGCTGGCTGAGGGCGGGGGCTGCGTCTTGCAGCCGAGTTCCGCGGGGAAGCGCCTTCTCACCGGGTGCCAGCCTTGCACGGTGCAATCTGAGATCGCAGGCTGGAGGCAGTGTAGGGTGCGTGCAGCTACACGCGTGGCATGGCTTGAGAGTAAACTTTGAGCCCCGAGTTAGGAAAGAGGGAGCCGCCAAACCGGCTGCTGCAAGCGGAGCCAGGGGCTCTGGCGCTTGTTCCAGGGTCCCGGCGGCCCTCCTCCCAGACCCTCTTGCCCGGGACCGGGGTCTGGCTCACGTGCGCCCTCCTCTCTGCCCTCTGCCCCCAGCTCCAGGTGTCGGACATGCTGAAGCCGGGAGACCCCGGCGGCTCGGCCTTCCTCAAAGTGGACCCAGCCTACCTGCAGCACTGGCAGCAACTCTTCCCTCACGGAGGCGGCGGCGGCCCGCTCAAAGGCAGCGGGGCCGCTGGTCCTCTGGGCGCGCCTCAGCCCCTGCAGCCGCCGCCGCCACCGCCTCCGCCACCCCCGCCGGAGCGCTCCGAGCCTCCGCCGGACAGCCTGCGTCCGCGGCCGGCTTCGCTTTCCTCGGCTTCGTCCACCCCGGCTTCCTCCTCCACCTCAGCCTCTTCTGCCTCCTCCTGCGCTGCTGCCGCGGCAGCAGCCGCCGCCGCCGCGCTGGCGGGTCTCTCGGCTCTGCCGGTGGCGCAGCTGCCGGTGTTCGCGCCTCTAGCCGCCGCCACCGTGGCCACGGAGCCGCTGCCCCCAAAAGACTTGTGCCTAGGCGCTATCTCGGGCTCAGGGCTCACCAAGTGCGGCGGCGGCAGCGGGGATAGCCGGGGCGTCCCGCGCTTCCGCTGCAGCGCCGAGGAGCTGGACTATTACCTGTACGGCCAGCAGCGCATGGAGATCATCCCACTCAACCAGCACACCAGCGACCCCAACAACCGTACGTAGTCGCAACCTTCGCGCTTTCTCTTGTGGCGCCAGTTGGAGAGGCGGATCCGAATAGGGTGAAACCGGGTATGGGGTGCTGGTCCAAGATGCGGTCGGGCGCCTCCCAGATCACTGTAGCAAAAGTTTTCTGGCATTGTAGAAGGAAGAAAATGAAATGGGATGATCGGGTGGCACCTTGGTGTTATCTCTTTCCCCTTAATTCATCCCTTGCTTCACAGCCCCAAGTTATTAGGACCAGAGCTGCCTTCGAACCAGGCCATACAGACCCCCGCCCTCCTGTCGGACTGTGCTCTAGGTCGGGCTGGTACTGGTATCGCACTACGGGGAGTGCCCAGGATTGGTCCAGCCTAGCCTTAACCTGGACGAGGGAGGGACTCTCAGCGTTTCTGAGGAACGTAGAAGTCGGCGTTTGTTTTTATCTTTACACCTCATCTCTGGAGTTAGCAGCATAAGCTCATTTTCGGGCCTCGGGTTGTCCGGAATCCTTCAGGAGCTGTTGGCTGGCGTGGCCTCACTCGAGTAGAGGTTCTGGATGACAATGGGTCTCTTCTTACAGACAGGCATTATTCATAGGTCTACTGTTTATTTAGAAAAGGAGGAAAAGAAAAATGCCTGATAATTTCCGACTTCAGGAAAGGGTCGTTCCCTGAGAATCCCGCATTCTTTGAGCACCCTTGATCCTGAAACGTTGGTTCATTTACTTACTTATTAAAGTTAAGAGTGACAGTAATTTAAGAAAAGAAGGTTACTGTCTTTACAGAAAATTGTGAATGCCTATCTAAACGCCAAGACTCTTCTTGCTCGGTTTCTATATTTACATTTTCAAATGCTTATGGCAAGTACAGTACCATTTTGAGGTTTTGAAGCAAAACTCTTAATGAAAATCATGAATATGTAATTGCTTTATATCCATTTCTTCTTAGTAATTTCAGAAGTTATGTGTATGTATGCCTAAAGCTTTGGGATTAGTGTTATACTTCCAGAGACCTTTGGAGATAACATTAAAGCAGACTAAGAAAATCACACTGAAAGCAAGACAGGTTTTGAAGGATCAACATGCATTTCAGCTATTTTCTTCATCTGGCTTCTGTATGCGGAAAGTTGATCATAAGTATTTACGTTTATTCTATTTTGAAGAAGTTTCTTCTTGAAGAATATCTATCACTTCACAAACTTCTTAATTTGTTATAAAGGCAAAATAACTTGAGTTACAGCAATTTAAAGGAATCCCAAAGTAGTTGGTTGGATGGGAAAACATTGGATGTTAGCATAGTGATTGGGGTGTATTAATCTTTTCATAATGGTGGGAGATAATTGCTGTGATAACCAGAGATAATAATTACTACCCCCACCCCACCCCATTAACAACAATAAAAGCAGTTGTATTTACTTTTTTCCTTTCTACAATCTGAGGGTAAAGTACTGGTTTAAAATAGGAGTTTTAATCCTAATTTTGTATGCAGTTAAGAAAACTCATGTTTCAAAATTTCAGTTAACATTTTATAAAATTATATTCTTGTAACGGATTTTTAAAAAACATTTATTTCCGAATGAATTTCTTACTTGCGTTGTTTTCAAAGCAGTTCTTTTAAAATGTGGGGAAAATAATAAATGCTTCAGAAAAGGCGTTTCTTACTGCTCTGTGGATTATAGCCATTGTAGGTTGGGCATGCCTCATGAAGCTTGCACAGTTTTCTGAATTTAACAGTGCTGGAAAAGACAACAGCAGCACACCCCAAAGCCCTGACTGTGTGTCAGACTCCCTAAATTGTTTACAAATGCAGTCTTGAGATTTATTATATTTTCACTACAGGAAATGTAGACTAGTCAGAGAAAGAATTAGGATAGATTACTAATTAATATATGGATATTGAACCAGTTTATTGCCTAGGTATCTTTTTTTCTGATTGGAGGAAATGAGTTATGATTTTATTTAAATTATTCCTGTTGTGTTCATCTTCTGGCATCTCCTTTTGAGTCAGTTGGACTGTTTCAATATTTAGAGTGCAGGGCAAGGGGTGGGGGAAGAAGTTAGAATGTCCTCTTAAAGTTATACCCAAAGTTGGTCACTAATTAAAGGGACATTGAGAAAGAAAATAAAAAGCTAAGGTAGCTCTGGGTAATGCTGGAAGACCAGGCCTCCCGTTCTAGGAACTTCTCAAGAGAAACAAGCTTAGGCACTCATGAAAATATGGGATGTGTTTTACAAAGATGAAAAGTGATTGAGCTTAACCTAACTAGGGGCTTAAAACAAATTACAAATGCAAAAACTGAGACACTTTCCCCTCTTGGTTTAGGAAGTTGATGTGCAGATCACTTGAAAGACTGAAAATAAAAGCTTCTCATTCCCCTGTTGTGTGTGGGTGGGGTGTGGTGAGAGGCAGGGTGGAGGCAGAAGAGAAGCACCTATTAATTTATCATGTGTAGATTGTCTAGTGTTCCTTTTAGTTTCTTGCCATTTCCCTCTAACAGAAATCTGTGAAATGACCACTCAACCTTGCTTCATTTTGTCACTTTGTATTTTAAAGAGTATCCAGTACATTTTCTCTTTTTGTTACTAGGCAAAGAAAGGGGTTTCCTTATTTCTCCCTTCCCTTTAGAAGAATAACTTTTGCCTGGCATCAGCAATATATAATATTCTCTGTAAAAAAAAAAAAAAAAAAAAAGAACCCAGTAACACTTGTTTCACCCTGAAACTTTAGTGTCCATCTATGGCAAATGCCATAGTGAAGGAGCTTGTAGATCTTTCACACAAAAAGATTTTAAAACGGCTCAAACTGCAAGTTAGCCCAAGCGAGCTCCTCCGGTATATTTCTGTTATCTAACTCCGTGCATCAGTTTACTGTGATTGAACATGCTTTCCACTGAAGCTCTGAATGCTCAGCAGCTACTGCTGCTTCTCCTAAAAGTCAAGTGCTGCGTCGTGTAGTACGCAGGGGAAGGGGTGGGGGCGAGGCTCTGGGGCTTTTCTTAACGTCTTGTATTACTGCCCCCATTAGCTTCTGAGTTGCTTGAAGCTGTTTCCGTCAGGCTTCCAGCACAGCGGTCGCTTCTTGGGCTCTGGGAATTGGTATGTTGTGTGTGACCTTGTCGCTACTCTTGGAAGGGAGCGAGACGCCGTCACTGGGCTTGCCTGGCGTTTGTACGGAGGACCTTAGGTCGTCTTTCCGCACAGCCCAATTAGTTTTTTAATACGCTTTGGTAAGAATTTCCTTCCTAGTATCAGACAGGGAGGCGGGAAATAAGACACCTTTTGGATTTCTAGACGTAGAGTTGAGCCACCCTTAATCTTTCCTAGTTGGGGGTCTCTATCCACTCCGATTTGCTGGAACCCTCCTGCGCAAGGTATAGAATGAATCAACAGAGCCGGTGTGGGCACCAGTGTAGGAACAGGATTGGAGGCCCCACTGTTGGCAGCGTCACACTTGCCAAAAGTTTGGGGAGAAGGGCTGGGGAGAGAAGGAAATCTGGGGCTAGGACTGGCTTGTCTGGTTGCTAGGGCCCCTGCTATAGGATCTGGGAAAGAAATAAGGAAGGGAGAGTGTTTTCTGACCTTGCACTAATCCGGGTTAGAAAACGCAGAGTCTTCTTTGGGGAGCTTGGAACCCAGTGGTCTGTGGTCCACCAGTAGGCTCTGCGTGCCACCTAGGCACATCCTCTGTGCTCCTCCTGCCGCGTCTCCACAATCAGTGACCAGCTAGCGATTTAGATTTCAGACTCGGTCCCCGGTGGGAGGGAGGCTCAGAGTCGGTGTGTGGGCTTTTATGTTGTTCTATTTTTCTTTTTCTCTTTTCTCTCTTTTTATGTGCTGGCCCAGCCCCATCCTGTAACACACATGATTTAGCTATTTTACATCATTCGTTATCTAGCGCCCTGAAACTGAACATAGAGTCATATATTAGATTGAGGTTAGAAGAGGTGGCGACTGTTTATTTAAGGTGATAAAATGGTCCATCAGCAGTAATCTCCATCGATATGTGCCACCAGGAGATGAAGGATGAGGGGACAAGCCACAATTAATTGCCCTATAGTTTTGTAGGAGAGAGTGAGCCAGCCCAGACCCGCTTCGATCTCCTCTCCCGACTCCTATTCATCATCTCCGCATTGTATATGGCGGCCTCACAGGGGCAGGGGCCGGCGAGGTTTATCTCCGCGTAATATTCTCTCACCCTCACACACAGGCGCTCCCATTTAATTTATTAATACAGTCATCGGAAGACAAATAAAATCCACATTTTTCCCTTCCCCCTTTCTTCCCTCCCCTTTTTGTTTCCCCCACTTGGTCCCAGGGCCAAGGCAGCAGCCAGGCGGGGCAGAGAAAGCCTAGCGCATCTGCAATTCGCGGGGGCGGGGAGCTTTAAACTCCAGTAGAGAGGGAGTCCCCGAGAGGATACTAGGAGAGCAGCCCAGCTGGGACACAACCACAATCGACTCCTCTTTCTGTGGCCTCCCCTTTCCTAACCCTCCTCGGCCTCAGGATTTGCTTCTAGAACTGCTCCGGGGACTTTCGGAGACCCTTGCTCGCTGGAAAAGTGAGCCCAGTGTGTGTCAGGGTGCAGCGGGGCCTTCGGAATGTGGGTGGCAGCGGCCACGCCTGGTGACCCACCTCGTGCAGAAGCGGGACAAGGCCTTCACAACGCAAATTTCGGTGCGAGGCTTGGGCTCCCCATCGCGCCCATCATTTGCACTGCCCCCATTCCATCCAGCCTGTAGTGTGGGAAGGCAGGAAGAACAGTGTGGTCTGACGCGTGGGGGAGCGTGAACCCTGGTCCTAAGGTTCCCAGCTGCCGAGATCAGTCTGCCTTTGGCTGCTAGTTCAGTTAGTCATCCCCACCACTACCTAGGGTGCACGCGTCTCTGCCAGCAGGCGGCACTCCCGGGGTCGCGTCGCCGGGCACAGATCGATGGGCGTTGGCCTCTAGGGTTCAGCTTGACGGGCTGAGGGCTGCAACCTCAGCGGTCAGGGAGGATTTACAGCCCAAGCCTGTACCGCCGCCCAGGCGGGAAAGCAAGCTTTTCATCTCTACTCTTCGGTTTAGCTAACAGAGCGCAGTAAAGTCGGGCAGAAGCATTGGAGAGGCTTTGAGGAAAGGCTTGGCGTGGAGGGCACTCGCCGGCTCTGACTATGCCCAATACGTACCTTTGGGCCTTTCCATACACCAAAAGCCCTGGAGCGTTTTATATTTCACTTTTCCTAGAATGAGAAATGAAAATCCAGAAAAGAAAACCATGGCTTGCTTTGACCCCTTTACCTTAATATAGATTCATTTAAAATGATAATGATAAAAAGTAAATACACTTGTAAAAAAAATTCACACAATAAGAATATGAAAGGAAGAGTGAAAGTCTGCTCTCCACTTGGACAGGCCTTCTGAAGTCAGTAGGTGAACAAGTCTGCAACCTAATGATGATCCCTTGCCTGAATCAGGGACCCATAGACAGCTCAAGATAGAAAGGGGACTATGATAATTTATACTCCCTAATGCTAAAATCAGGTTTCGAAGACTCTCTCTTGGAGAATATGAAAATCTCATACATATTGAAATTTTTATGAATAATAATTATGAACTTGTATAAAAACTCCATCTCTGATTTTGAAAGTGGGAATATTTATGTGTCTTCTCCTTATGAATGCAACTGGACTTGTCTTATGTATTGCTTGGACTGAAATGCTGTGTGTAATGTGAATGTGTATGTGTGCATATATATAATGGTGATATATATATAATATATTGTTTTGTATGTATATTTATAAGTAGTTTGGGGATTTAACCTTCTCTGTCAAATCTTTTCATGTAGGTGTTTATGGCTGGCTGGCTAGAAAACACCTTACTAAAATATTTGTCAACTTGTGACATATTTGTCAACCCTGGGAAGTAAGTTACTGAGTTTAACTTTGTCAAACTACTCTGGGATTCTAAGAAATAAGAAGTAAAATGTTTTTAGATAGAGAGATCTTTTGTATTAAAAACATTAGCATATAACATAAAGTTGGCAACCCAACTTTTCGGGCAGAATATTTTGATAAAACTCAAAGTAGTTTACAAATTAAACTCATGTTGGGTGGGTTAGTTAAAGTGGATTGGATCTGTCTACTTTACAGTGGACTTAATATACAAGTGGTCTTTAAGGTATTGGGGGAGCCTAGGTTTTTTCAGTACTCTGCAAAATACTACTATTAAGTTTTTTTGTTTTGTTTTTTTCATGAGACTTGAAGAGAGGGCTTTAGAGGACTTCTTGGAGAAAGAACTTAACTTTAGTTTTATTGACATTCATTACAAATATTATTAGAAGTGTGCTTCTTGTCTGTGGTGGATAGTGGCTGGAGTTTATTGCTCCTTATTTTATTACTGATTTAATTGATGCGATTTTGTTTGTGGAGATATTGGAAGTTGATAGAATCTCTGGTAAAGGCCATTAGGAGTATGAATAGTAAATGTTTTTGCTTCTCACCCTTTGCTTCATTGAGTCAACCAGGAAGAAAAAATCGGTTAAGCAACTCTCTGAGGGTGATTTATATTTATTTTCATGGGCACATTGCCTTTGCTTATTGTCACTTGTTTTATTTAACTATTTTTGCTAGGTGCTGAAAGGCCATCTCCAAAGTTAGACACTAACATTCATAATTATGGACATTAGCTATTTACTTTCCTATCCATTATCTTATTTCAGTTTCCCCATATCTAAGAGTGTGGGAAATAGAGATATCTCTGTAACTTAATTATGCCAAAGCAGTTTTGTGGCCTCTCCCCAATAGTAAAGTGAACTATTTCAGTTCTATTGGTTGATTCACAATTGGTCAACTTGCAATTCTGGTGATGCATTATTTGACTCATCTGCAAAATAAGAATCATGATACTATAGTGGCAGTATGGCTCAAGATATATGCATGGAACATAGTAGGCACTCAGTAAAGGTATTGTCTTTCCTTTTTCCATTCCCACATTGTTAAGTTTTTATTTTTACTATCAAAAGCTTGAGAGGGTGTGTGAAATACGTGTGTTTTGGAGGAGCTGACTTATGGATAAGTGTTTGCCTACTTATGTCTAGGCCCTTGGTTCAAAAGTGTAGCTTTAACAGTTTTAACATTAGCTTGTTACTTACAAAGAGAAACCTTTGTGTTAAGGGAGGCTCAGACACTTCACCACCTGCAAAAACAGGTGGTTGCTTCTCACCTGAGAGGCATGGTGATGGACTCCAAGAAGTCGAATTCAGAATGTTCCCTCATTCCTTGGGCTATCTGGGGAAGGAGTAGAGGGGGACCACCAGCTGGTTGGCATCCCTTCCACTGAGAAAGGATGCTCACATAGTCAATCCTGGCTGCTGTGAGGTAAATGGTTAGTGGTGGGTTTGCTCATCATAATGGATTGTGATTCCCTGTTCCTGAAAAGTTCCTCACCAATACACATTATTACAAGTTCTTTGAGTGTTTCTGCACAGTGACACACCCAGGGTGATCCATCAGGCCTACCTGTAACAAAGGCCCATCGCAGGTGCCTCAGGCCCTGAGAGCCGCTGTCCCAGCACCGGCACATCTCATGGTGACTGCATCTCACCATCTCTACGAGTCCAGACTGCGTTGCTTGAGGCTCCCCAGGGAGGGTGGGCCTGGGAGACCAGGTCGCGCCGGCGGGCGCCGAGGCTGCCTCCTCTGGGCAGGCCTGCCGCGCCGGGGCGCAGACACCGCGGCTCCGTCAGGCCCATTAATAACCCGGAGGGCACTGCGGTCCGACAGCACGGTCTCTTTTCCTGTCCCCCCCCCCCCCCCGGCTGCCTGGCCCCTTTGAGGGACACTGGGTGCTCATGACTAGCCCGCTGTAGGGTGGAGGTCCTCTTGCGCTCAGGGTTGCTCTGGAGAAAGTCGGAGTGGGACAGCTTCAGCAATAGTTTCATTCAGTTTACTGCAAAAGATAATCTCATTTCGCCTTAGGATCAGCCGGAAGAGGTCAGGAGTTGGGCCTTCTCCATTGAACCATTACCCTGATCATTAGATTTGCTCTTAGTTTCGGCTTCTGAGAAGAGTGTCTGCGCAATTACAGACACACCTAACCCCCCAGAACCGTCTCCCAGTCTCCACTCGCCCCTTCCTGGCTGGAATCCCTGAAGTGGGCGATGGCAGGGAAGTCAGAGGCTAGTGTCCAATTTCCCCGCAGCCTCCAGGGGCTGGGACCTGAGCTTCAACCTTGCCCCAGGTGGGCTCTGCCTGCGCAGGTTTTTGAGAAGACGCGATGTCTGTTGCCCACCTGCCTTGGTGATTTTAAAACGTCTCTTCTCAAATTGTAAAAAGAGGAAAACCAAATCTCAGAAGACCAATGTAGAATCTCTGAAATATCAGATTGGACAAAAGACGGACTTTGGGTGGCGGGTATGATGGTAAACACTTCCTGAAACGCCTGATAGAAGTCTTTGGACCTGGCTTCTCGGGTGACAGAGAGAAGGGAAGAGGCAGAGAAAGAGGGAGAAAGAGAGGTGGAAACCTGGAGGAGAGGCCTTGGGCATTCGGTTCTGTGCGGAGCGCGAAGATGTTATCAGCATCCAGCTCCAAACGTGTTTTGGAGCCCAGGGTCCCAACCAGGCAGATTTGGGTGCTAAGGCGCGGGCCCTTCTCTCCTACTCCTGGTGGCCTCGGCGCCCCCGTGGCGTCACCGGCCCCCCACCCCGCCCCACAGGTGGCCGATCCTGGCGGGCTTAGATGCTACCAGCAAATGATAAGCTGCCTCAGATACCAGGTTAACCCTCTTCCTTCCTTTCCTCTCGCGTGTCTCCTGCAGGTTGCGATATGTGCGCGGACAACCGCAACGGCGAGTGCCCCATGCACGGCCCGCTGCACTCGCTGCGCCGGCTCGTGGGCACCAGCAGCGCCGCGGCCGCCGCACCTCCACCGGAGCTGCCTGAGTGGCTTCGGGACCTGCCAAGGGAGGTGTGCTTGTGCACCAGTACTGTGCCGGGCCTGGCGTATGGCATCTGCGCGGCACAAAGGATACAACAGGGTACCTGGATTGGGCCATTCCAGGGCGTGCTCCTGCCCCCGGAGAAGGTGCAGGCGGGCGCGGTGAGGAACACGCAGCATCTCTGGGAGGTAAGTGGAGTGGCGTCCCACTTCTGAGCACCTCACCACCGATCAGTAACCTGGGCCAGCACACAGCCTGGTCCTTAGCAGGTGGCAACCTCAGAAGAGCCTCCCTTAAGCTCCAAGAGGATGTTGGAGAACAGATTTCCCTGGTCTGTAGAAAATGCCTGAAGCACCTTGGGTGAGGAGGTTAGCCCAGTAGCATCTGGCAAAATGTCAAATTAGCCCTCAGGGCCTACTGGTTTCTAAAGACAGAGCCACCTTAACCTGCTTCTGTTCCGGCTGGGATGTATTTGACCACTGGTCTGTCTGCAGCTTGAGAAAAAGAAAACAGGCTAAGGAGATGGAGCAGAGACATTGGGCTTTGGGTTGACTTTTATGTCCCATTTAAGCTCTTCCATTGTTTCTGGGCCTAGGGCAGGAAGAAACAAAAGCACAGAGAGGAGATGAGATGAGGTGGGGCTTATTATATAAAGAGGTTTATTTTTCTCTTTGTATTTGCTGAATGAGAGAGACCCAAACACTTTTCACAACGTCCAAAGTGTCCAAGCACTTTGTAAATTATATTGTAAATTTAAAGATTACAATTTTTTCTTCTTTCTGAGAAAGTGAAATTCTGCAATTTTCAATAAAATGGAAAATCGAAATATGGGGAAACTCTGAGCATTTTTTTTTTTTTGGTAACCCAATATCTGATGCTATTATTTAAAAATAACTTATCTGAAAAATGTTAAATTAAGATTTCTTCCAGGGTTTCCTGGTTGATTATTGAGGTCCACTCTTGTAGAGATAGACAATTATCATTAGGAAATCCCCAACTGATTCTAGCCACTTTCACTCATGGAAAGTTATTTATGAAATAAAAGATGCTATAAATCATAACCTTAACTAATATGTAAATCTGACTATAGCCAGGTGAAATAATGAAGTAGAAACAGTCAGAAAAGAAAGCTTCTTAATTACCAAGTGGCAAATTGACGAGGGCCTCAGAGTTCCAATAACGGGATATTTCTGCAACACTTAGCTCAGTGGCTTGTCAACATGATCACTTTTACTGTGAGATGCCTCACAGTCACTAAATAAAACTCATGGGACTCAATAATCCACTCAAACGTTTGTTGAGCCCCAATTCATGCCAGTACTATATCAGGTCCTAGAGATACAGTATCCTGGAGATAGTGTTATGAAAAACAAACATGGTGTCCAGAAACCCCACATGACTATTGGGATTGGGGTGTTGAGGCCTGTATTTACAAAGCTCCCTTTGATGGAGGAGGAGCTGAATGTGTGAGCCCAATGTGAGGACGTGGCAGCCTATAGGCTACCTTCCTCACAGTAGTCCCCCAGAGTCTTGCACCCAGCTCCCCCAGGTTCCACTTTACTCCTAAACTGTTGTTGGTAAACATTTATACCCTTTCCATCTTTCAGAAAAGGATTCCTGAGCAAGGGGTAAAAAATGGGCATATGGGGCTTTTCTTAAAAATAAAAAGAGCAGATGGGGCTTTTCTTAAAAGTAAAAAAAGAAACATTTAATTTCTAAAGCAGGGCAGGAGAAAATGGTTTGGTGCGTAGGTCCATGTAGGTAGTTTAGAAGTTAGAGCTTAGACATAGGAAAACTGACAACTGGAACATAATCAAAGCATCTGGTTTTGAATCATTTCCTAATTATTGTTGTTTGTTTGTTTCTGAATACGTAGTTGTAACTTCTAATGTGGGTTAAAGTTTAAAACCATTTTCAAGCACTTTTCAGATTCCAGTGGTGTTATTAGGAACAGTAATATCATGTAATTAGGGGTCTGCCAGTTCTTTTCTTGGGGAGACTGTAAAGTAGTTGTTCTGTGCTACAGATTTGTTCTAGCTGAAAATGTTAAACTGACAACTAGTATATTGCCCTCTGACGTCAATTTTTTAGAGTACAGAAGACAAAATTATAAATGTGAATAAAAAGATACCAGTTAAAACATTTTTTTTTTTTGAGAAGGCTTTAAATGATTGGAATATTGGCAGAGGGCCACTACACATATAGAATAGGATAGTTTATATTAACACAGTGGTGGGACCTTTCTTTGATACTTTTACTTGTACTTAATGAAATTAAACTTCTATTATAGTAAAGAGACTGGGGCATGTAGTCTGCTTTCTTATTTTTCTTGGGGCTTCTGTAGATATAAAATGAGTCTTACCTGTTGTTTGGGGTGAGTCAGGAGGAATATAGAGTTAGTTCTGTGATATAAGAAGGACTTACTTGGTGTATGCCTAAATGATATAAAAGTCCCTACTCCTAAATTCAAGACATATTAATATATTTATTTTAGTCATTTGTACAATAGTTATAATAATACACATTTGGGGGATTGAAGGAATACTAAGACTTCAGCTATGTACAGTGTTCCTGGGACTTCATAAAAAACACAACTAACCAGGGCCAGGTCATGTAGTGCCAACGTCTATTTGTAAAATACAACTCTTTTAAAAATAAATTTCAGATTTTTATTAGCATAATTACTTTTTAAGGTATGAAGTACAAATTTATTTTTAATTTTAAGCATCATAATTTATGAAATGTGACTATTTAGGTACATTTATGACCGAAGATTCTCGTTTTTTAAATTTTATTTTTTCCTTTTAAACCTAAATTCTGATGTGAAAAAATTAATTTCCCAGGGCTTCGCACATGCTAGGCAAGCACTCTACTGCTGAGCTATATCCCCAACCTTTTCTTATTCCTTACTTTGAGAGATAAGTTCTTGCTAAGTTGCTGAGGCTGACCTTGACTTGTGACCCTCCTGTTTCAGCCTCCCAAGTAGCTAGGATTACAAGCTTGTGTTATCATGTCCAATTATTGTGAAAAAATTTTAACCATTTTATTATCTATAGTAGAAAGAACCGATAACTGTAGAAAATATTTGGCAATAATGTTTAATGACTCATATAATAATTATCCATTTAAAAATATATTCTTCCAAATATCTTCCAGAATATCAGATTGACATAAAGCAGATTTTTAAAACATTAAAATTAGTCGAATGGTGACTATTTCATTTTAAAAGTCAACTGTAATCATTTCCGTGCCTCACATTTTTCCAAGTCTTTTGCTGATGAAGAAATGCCTTTATATTTAGAGTTCAATACGCAGGTTCTGATAGAGCTTACCAGGGTTACTTATCTTTATTTCAGTACAATAAATGGATTGCTAATCTTTCCCTGTCATTGTTTCCAAGTAGATGATGGATTTTTGTTTCAGTTTACAGTTCATTGTTTTTAGTATGGTTGTACTTTATTATACACGTGAAGGCTTATTACAGAAACAATCAGACTCACCTTAGTTACTCCCTTTGTTTAATCATTAAAAGCTCTATCCCCTTTGTAGAAAAATGACTTTTTAATATTTAACATATCTCAGACATGAAGAGTTTGATTAGTTTGTAAGCATGCTATCTTTTTTTAGTTGATATTTTCTTTGTGTATAATCTTACTTCTTCAAAATACAATTTTAAGAAAATTAAATATCATTGTATTACTTCAATATGTTTTGAATCTTTTAGTTGTTTATGGGAAATTTCTAGAGTTTTTCTTTTTCTTCTCCTTCTCTTTCCTTTCCTCCTTCCTTTCTTTTTAAAGCAATAATCCAAGGTAATTTTTTTGTAGTTTAAGAAGATTAACAAACTAAAAGCTGTATTAGTTATTTTTGGGCCAATTTACTTTAGAATCAAAATGTTAATGTGCTCTTAAAAATAATAAATTCAGACACTTTAGAACAAAAACATTAGAGAAGGCATTAAACAACTACCTTGGTTATATACATTTATTCCAACAAGACTTTAATGCATGATACATTTCTACTTATGTGGAAGTGTTGGGGAAAAATCTTTATGAATGTTTTTCTAAGAAAATAGAATCTTTCTCAGCAATTAGGGCTTATTGATGAGAGTGAGATAATTTTTTCTAATATGTTTTCTAATAAAGAAGTGAAGAGGCACATTTTAGTCCAACATTTGTGAAAACATTATCTCAATTATTAATGTGCCCTTTTCCCCTTGAGATAAATTAATCTAGTTGCACATGGTTTTGCCTTTCTGCTTAACATCAGAATTTAAAATGACTAGACCTTAGGAATGTACACAGTATATACTTAAAATTCTACTGGAATAAAATATGAAAGTTTAAAATAAAGTTGCAATTTAAGATAGGCTACAATTACTCAGACCTTTCAACTCAAAGTCTGATTTCACAGGAGACTTAAGCAACAATGACAAAATGAATTTTACTTGTTTTCAACCTAAAAAAATTTATTCTGCTAATTGAGATAATGTAGTGACTTGTTAGGATTACAGTCAATGTAGTAGAAAGGGATTGAATTTTACAGGACCTGTCTTCTCTTTGAGTAAATTTGAGTGTGTCATTTTCATTTGTACTATGTGGAAAACTTCACTATTTTTCTTCAGAAAATCAAGGAGGATAACATAATGTGGGCCTTTTTGTGGTTTGATTTTGTGCCATAATATTTTAGATTTAATAAGAGTTTTGCTTTTAAGCAAAAGGTCTATTTTTCATCATTACTATCTAGCTTAGGTCAATATATATTAAGGAAAACCAATATTAAAAATATATTACACATTGCTAAATGTTTATATTTCAAAACCATCATAGGTAATTGGCACTAGAAAGAAATGAATTGATTTCATGTTTTAACTGTGTTATGTGTGTTTTTATAAATGACCCAATTCCATATATACAGTACTGTACCCACTTGTATATATTTAGGTATTGAAAAAATAATTTCAAATTAATCATTTTAAATTAAATTAAATCATTTAAAAATTGTTCCAGTGATAGTATTGTAACGATATACTCCACGTTTTGCTTTATAGACTTTGCCTCATTTTGGCCCAATTCACTGAAACACCAAGGGATAGAATTATGTGGCTGTCACAGTTATATTGAAGTAAAAATTATGTTTCTCAGCAATTTGTCATTTATTATACTGTCAGCTTGGTTTTGAATATGTC